AAGACGTGGAAGTTTATGGAACTGGGTACTCTCTCAGTCTTTAAAGTTTTAAGACTTTAAAAAGTATATTTAGAAAAGGGATTTTTTAAAAAAACATAACACCACAAGGAACTGAAAAACTAGAAGATAAGATGAAAACAGATGAGAAATGTTAGTATTTTTGAATCTGGAAGGCAGATAGTTAAGTGGTAACTGATTTAACACCCTAGAGAAAGCTGAGTGCCTGAAGGGACAAGCCAGTTTATACCATAAAATATATCAGATAGACTCAGAAATTGGAGACACTAGAAACTTCAGAAAATGGGATGCAGAAGGGATAAAAACAGAAAGCTTAGTTCAAAATCAACTGCACTGTGAAAAGTGGCCACCCAGCTGACCAGAGGGAAAATAAGAAAAAGGTTACTGAATGGTGAGACCCCTCAAGACCCCATGTGGAAGAAATAGACTCATAAGTGCCTGGTATTTCTTTGAACTGTTGCATTTTGCCTTCAAAAGAAATCTATGCACAATTTCTATAATATAGGAAGTTTTATTTTATATATTAAAAAGGTTTTCTTCAAATCTTCAAATGAAAATGATGATCCAAGAAAATTGTGTCTTATATGTCCTATAGCTTAGTATGCAAATGCCCTGGCACATCTCCATGTACCCTTGGGTGTGCGTACCTCAGAGTATGAAGCTGTCATTCAAGGTTATTCACAACCTGTCCCTAGTTGATCTTCTTGGTTTTACTTCTCATCATTTCTTCCCACATACTGTGTGCTCAGATTATATGGGTCTATTCACAGTATGTCCAATTCTGTGCATTGTATATCATTTCTCCACATCATTGTTCAAATTGGTATTTCTTTTATAGGAAATGCTGCTTATTCTCCCCTCTGTTCGTCCTTCAAGACTCACTTCAAGTTCCACTTGTGCACAAATGTGTTATACTCCCCCATCCAAACTTTTCTGCTGACTCATTCATATTTCTGTTTTAACACTCATCACGTTATATGATTTCTTTGACAAACTTTTGAGCCACCACGTGCAAGGTCCTGTGTCTCTGAAGGGTAAGAACAGAGGGTTGATCATCTTAGATGTCTCATATCTTCATATTTTGGTTATTAAATATTCAGATGCTTTCCCCAACCTGTGGTTTCTGATTTTTCTAGTAAATTTTTTATACTGCCTCACAAGTGTTTATGCAAAATCACCGATGTGATCATGTCACTACCCTTCTCAAAAACCTTTCATATTAAGCTTTAAGATGGCATTGAGGGCTTTCCTGATGTGGCCTCAACCTTACTTTTCCCGTCTCTTGCGGCCCTAACCACCTTTTGCCCATCTTCACTCCTTCCTGATCCTGTCTTGTGGTTCATCACCCTAGACCATCCACTATTCTCAGCTTACACCGTCTACTTTCTCATTTTTATGTTTGCTCGTGCAGTTTCTTCTCCTTGAGATGTCCTCATATCTTCTTCAACTGCTAAAATCCTACTCATTATTGAAGGCTGCGGGGGCG